GAATAAGATCTACTTTCCCTATTAGATTCCCAGAAGAAGTGAATTAATCAATGAATCCATTGCAATGTTAAAATGTATTAATTGAAGCTGGGTGCTGATGGCTCATATCTAGAATCGTAGGTACTCCAGAGGCTGAGGTCTGAGGATGGAGGTGTGAAGATAGTTAAACAGGAAAAAGCTGGAAATGGAGGTGTGGCTCCAGTGGTAGAGTGCCAGCCTTAAGCAAGTGAATGGAAAAAGCTGAGCCAGAGCACAAGGCCCTGAGTTCAAGCAACAGAACTGGCACCAAAAAGACTATATATATTCAGAGAGGTAACAGAAGTTATTTAATAATTGTATGTTATACAATATTAGTTACCTTAATAATCCTTATTAGAAATATTAAATAACAACTGACTAGTAGTACAATACAAAATATAAAATATAATTGAATTCTAATTAAAGTGGTCGGGAATAATAGCTTAAAAGAATATCATTTGAATTATTTACCCGAAGCTTAGGTTTCCCAAGGTGTAATTTGGAAGTGCCTCAAGATTTGTGTGAGATCAGGTGGAAAACCAGGCAGAGGCTGAACCACAGAAATCCTTGATTAACAGCCTCAGAAACTCAGATTTGTGTACTTTGTTCAGGAAAAGGCCCTGCACATATCTCAGCACAAGTAAGAAAGTGATATTGGGCTAGCAGATGTTTCCGTCCTGTGCAGAATAGACTAGAAAGAAAGCAGACCCGGTTTAGCCAGGAAACAGTGGCATTCTATCCTCTGAGCTTTGGGAATGTTGTGCCACAATTTGAAGAAGAAGATCAGGTGACAAGCCTGAGAGACCAGGTGATCCTCATGACAAGGATGAGAAGCTGGAGTCTAGGTAGAAGGCAGAGACATATTTTATTCATTGTGACGCCAACTTGGAATTGATGTAGATTCTTCCCTAGATACCCAAAATGTGTTCAGAAAGGGACAGTGTAGGCTAGGCACTGGTGGCTCATGCCTATAGTCCCAGCTGCTCAGGAGGCTATGATCAGAAGATTACTGTTCAAATCCAGCCCAAGCAGGAAACTCTGTGAGACTCTTATCTTCAGTTAACAACTAAGAAGCTGGAAGTGGAGGTGTTTTTCAAGGGGTAGAAAGCTAACTGGAAGCAAAAAAGCTCAGGGACAGCACTCAGGTCCTGAGTTCAAACATTAGGACTGTCACAAAAAGAAAAAGATCGTGGGGCGGAAGGAAGGAGTGAAAGTGGGAGGAATGGAGGCAGGGACAATATGGTTATGATCGAGAAAGGGACATGCGTCCTTAGCATACAAATCTATCACTCATAGTTTTAAAAAAAGAATTGCAAAAGTAAGCACAGGTGAAATATTTTCTTTACATTCACATTTTTCTCTTGACCTGAAATATATCTTACCTGTAAGCAATTGTTTTTCTTTGCTGAGCAATAGATTATTCAGTGACTTAAAAAATATTCAGCATAGAAATAAGTTGTGCAGAATGATAAAACTTTTCTTGTTGTTGCTGCTGGTGGTGGGTTTTTTTTTTACGTTTTTTATTGTAAAAATGCTGTACAGAGGGGTTACAGTCATGAGTAAGGTCATGAGTACATTTCCTATTGAGAATTGTTGCCTCCTCCTTTGTTACCCCCTACCATCTGCTGCAACTGTTTTTGTGCCAACAAAACAGACTGAGAAGTTATTTAATTGTGGGTTGAACTCAGGGCTGGGCACAATCTCTGAGCTCTTGCATTCAAGACTAGCCTCTACTACTTGAGACACAGTTCCACTTCTGGCTTTTGGGTGGTTAATTGGCAACGCTAGTCTCAAACTTTCTTGCCTGAACTGGCTTTGAGCTGTAGTCCTCAGATCTCAGCTTCTTAAGTAGCTAGGATTACAGAGTGAGCCACAAGTGCCTGGCTGATAAAGAGAAATTTGGTAGACTTATATTAACACATACATGAAAAAATTACATTTTTAAAAGTTGGCAAGCATACCTGGTGTTAAAAGTAATATTAAATTGTTAATTTAGGAAAGATTACATTCTATAAGATATATACATCCTTCAGGAAAATCTGTGTGTTGTTTCAAGTTGTATGTAGAGGATGAGCAGTAATCATAGGCATTAAGTCTGGAAAGAACTGAACTCTTACGTAGGTATTCTTAATTTAAAACTAGAAGATCAAGTTGGGCACAGTAGCTCACATCTGTAATCCTGTTTTTCAGAAGGCTGAGATCTAAGGATTACAATTCAAGGACAGCCTGGTCAGGAAAGTCTGTGAGACTCATCTCTATCTCCAGTTAATCACCAAAAAGCTGGATTCGGAGCTATGGCTCAAGTGATAAGAGTACCAGTCTTCAGTGAAAAAGCTAAGGGATAGAGCCAACCGTCCTGAGTACAAAGCCTCAGTACTGGCACCAAATATTTTTTTAAAGGCAAAGATCACATACATTAGGCATTAGAATTGCAGCCTCCAAATTTGAATAGGACACAATTCAGTCCATCCTCAGTATATTTATGAAGTTAATTGAGAATAAATTTGGGGGAAACCATTTTTGTAGTCATGGTCAATTAAAATGCCTTCTATGTCAGTTTATTAAATGGTACAATTGGCAGATGATTAGACAGCCTTTTTAAAAACTCTAGCTTTTCATCATAGATGCATATAAACTACATTCTAGGCCAATCAATCATATTGCCTCCAGAGTGAAAGTCAAGATCAACTGTGCATGCAAACATGAGTTTAAGCAAATTTTAATTCAGCCCAACAGGTTGATTTTGACTTAATGAGCACACCACATCTGAATATTTCCAAAGCTACTTTCCTGTATGAAAACCTACAATGACTTTCTGTTAGCTCTTAAATTAGACTCTGGGGCCTGGCCTCAGTGTTATGTTCAAGTACCTCCAAGAGTCTGCCTCCCTTGCCCATTAATCCTCCTTACATCTTCTCTGAGTCTTTCTTGGCTCCTCACTAGCCTGGCCAACGTTAGAACACATTATTTTTTCTGCCTAGAACTGAGAGCATGTCATATACTTCCTATATAGTGTGCTCACATACAATTATTCTTTTTGAAGACTGTTTAGATGACATGAGCTTCTCTCAGATCTTTGCCATGTATGGTTAATCATATTGCTTGACCTTGGAAATGTTGTTCTTAAAAGATCGTTATCCAATCACTTAGCTAGGGCTTATTGTCATCCTGAATAGATTTTAAGTTCATGGGAGGAGGGGGAGAGCCCTTGTGTCCCCACCTCTCTCTGTGGTTCTTTGACAGAATGCTGCTTGAATAATAACCAGTAAATTTTTAGTTAATTTCAACTTGCGTCTCTCCCATGTTGATACATATTAAGTCATTTTGGTATTGTTTTCCTTACTGCTCTGCCTTTCCAAGCTTTTTGCTTTATTAAGCAGCTTTCCCAGTGAGAAAAAGAATCTATTATTTACTTACAATGAAAAGCTGGGCTCAAAATATTTAAAATAGAGTTAATAGCAAATGGCTTTTGAAACTACCATTGCTTCTAATATTAACTTTGATAGTGCTATGACTCACATGGTAGGCAGGGGTTGTAGTACTGAGATACATTCCCAGCTCTGGAGTTAACTTTTGATCTTCTGGGGTTTTTTGTTGTTTTCTTGCTTGTTGGGGTGTGTGTGTGTGTATATGCACATGCGCACACATGCATGCCAGCACTAGAGTTTGAACTCAGGGCCTGGGTACTGTCCCTTAGTTTTTTCACTCAGGGCTGGCGATCTACCACTTGAGCCACACTTTAATTGGAGATAAAAGGCTCACAGACTTTTCTGCCTGGGCTGGCCTTGAACTGCAGTCCTCAGATCTCAGCCTCTTGAGTAGCTAGGCATAAGCCACCAATGCCCAGGTTACTTCTGACCTTGAACCTATCAGTCTCCAAAACTGTGAGAAATAGGTCCTGTTGTTGAAGCCACCCTGTGGATGGCATTTTGTTTTGGCAACCTGAGAAGCCTGAAATACCTGCCATTCTTATAAATACCAGCTATGAAACGGATCCTTGCCATCTTTCCTTAAATTTTCCTTGGCTTCCTCCTTACACAAATGACAGGTAAGGGGAACATAAACTAATGTGTTTTGGATGCTTATTAGCATCTGCTGAATACCACATATATGATCTCATTTAGTTCTGATGCATTGTGTAACACAATGACCTATAGGACATGATTCAAGACAACTTTATTGGAAAAAAAAACATGGTAGAGGATAGGCACAGTTTATAATTCACAGCTAGGAGTCCTCTAAATAATATACATGTAACTGATCTGTATCTGTTCACTACCATGGACAACGAAAACACTCCTTGGTAACTTTTAGGGATAACCAATAATTTATTCTCTTGTCACAGTTACCACAATTATCTAGCTACATGACCAGTGTCACTACAAATCACAGGAAGATTGTCCACCTACACTTTACGGAGACAAAGACAACGGTCATTTCTGTGTTAGATGTACACACAATGTTAAAAACAGGTGTTTTGGATATGTAAGACGGGGCGTGGCGTGTGCTTCATTAGCAGGTCAGTTCAGCATGTGTTATGCCAAGAAGCAAGAATAGAAACGTTTTGGCATTATTATTAAAGTAGAAAATAAGTGGACTAGAGAAATAAATCCAGATTTTTAACTTACAATAGATACATCAAAGTAGGAAATTAATTAGCTCCTCCATATTTTTTGCTCAGTTTTTTGTATCTTTTTTTAATATATCTATATATATATAATGTGTATAAACAGTTCATATTCATATATCCCAAGTTCAGGAAAGATCTCAGCCCCCAAAAAGAAGGTACCAGTCTATGAAAAACCAAAGGGGTGGGGGGAAGAATTACCAAGTTATTTTGCTTACCAAAAAAACCCATTTTTTTTAAAGAGTCACAAAATATCTCTAAACGCCACCTTGAACGAGGCAACTGTGCTGGTGCCACCGGGGGCGGCGGCACGGGGTGGGGGGGGACAGGGGTGGGGACGCGGGCCGGCCCTCGGTCATACGGTGGTCACCGACAGGAAGGCGCTGTGGACCCGCGTGCCGTCGGGGGACTTGGCCCCGTGGCTCATCAGCTCTTGGATGGTCATCCAGTTATCCAGAATCTTCTTGTTCCTGCGCTTCATCATCTTCTTGTGGCTCAGCTCCAGGATGCTGAGCTCGCGCTTGCCCTCGCCGCCGCTCTGCGGGCTCTCCTTGAGGCACTCGAGCCGGCTGCGCAGCATGAACTCGCGCCGCCGCCGCTGCTCCTTGGCGCGGACCAGGTGCTGCTTGCGCTCCTCCTTGCTCCAGTAGCGCCCCATCTTCATCTCGCTCATGGTGTCGTCGTCGGTGGTCATGCCGCTGCGCTCCTCCTTGATCTTTAAGGCACGTTCCTTCAGGAGCCGGTCGCGCACGGGCCGCTTGGTGATGTAGCGGGTGCCGTCGCTCCGGATCTTCACCTTCCACTCCATCTTGGGCTCGCCGCCGCCGCGCGGCGCCTCCTTGCACACGCCCAGCAGGCTGAGCTGGCTCTGCGCGAACTCCACGGCCGAGCGCTGCTGCACCAGCTGCATGTAGCTCTGGTAGTGGCGGGCGTGCGCCGGGATGTTGGCACACCTGTAGGGGGAGCTGTGGTACGGGGACAGGTAGGGCACCGGCTCGCCCGCCGCCCTCTCCGGCTCCGGGAGCTTCTCGCGGCCCTGCGTGCTAGCGCCGCCTCCGCCGCAGCATCGCGGCCCGCCAGCCGCGGGCTCCCCGCCGCCGCCGCCGGGCCCCGCGCCACAGCTCAGGTCCTTCCGGTTGGCCCCGTGGACGGCCCTCGGGAGGGAGCTGTCCGGGGAGCGGTCCACGGCGAGCGGCGTGCTGCGGCAGCTCTCGGCCGTGTTGTAGGCGCTCGAGCTATCCTTGTCCGACTTCTCCGGGTGCTCCAGGATGTCGTCCAGCTTGCCGCGCGGCGCGTCGGGCCCGGCCTGCAGCCGGTGCGCCTTCATGATGTTCTGGCACTCGAGCTCGATGCTCCTTAGCTCGTCGTTCAGCAGCTGGAGCTCGTGCTCCACGCCCTCGGGCCCGTCCGGCCCGCCCGGCCCACCCCGCAGCCGGCTGCTCGAGTAGTACAGGTCGTACTCGCCCTGGGAGCGGATCTTGCATTTGAGCTCCAACAGCTGCCGGAACCGCTCGCACTCCTCCCCCGGGTTGCCGGCGCCATCCGAGTCCAGGCACTCAGCGGGCGGGAGGCTGTGGTCCCGCGGGAGCTCCGCGCAGCCCCGCGCGGCCCGCGGCAGCGGCAGGGACTCGGGGCCTCGGGCCTCCTCGGCTGCGTTCTCCTGCTCCGAGCTCTCCTCGTTCCGCAGGCTCTCGTCCGTGCGCCCCACGCCGCTGTCCTTCTCGTGGTTGTTGGAGGACGAGGTGGCCGTGTCGGTGGTGCCTTCTTCTTCCTCTTGCTTTTTTGGCTGAGGGAACAAAGGAGATCGGTTACTTTGTCCAGCAGCGGCTGCTGGACACTTGCTTCACAAACAATGCTTTGTAGTTTGGTTGCACGCGTGCCAACAGAACCATGAGCCCTGCTGCGGTTGCTTTAGAAAGCGGGGGGGGGGGGGGGGGGAGGAGACTGATAGGATCAATTGTCTAAGTGCCTGGAGGTGACACAAGACCCCCACCTGCACTGCAAATGTCTGCTAACACGAATACTGTAAAGAAATAATCAGAAGCAACTCAGTGCTTCTTGGAAGAAGTACAGCTCTTAAAAATGAAGACAACAGACTGATCAAATAGAGAATTTGAAAGTTCCCTGAAAGTTCCCTGAATCAGGACATCGGTGACAGTCATGAGTATGAATAAGACAAGATTCTTCTAAATGCACAGTTCTTATTTGGGAAACTAAGGCAAAGTCATATAAATGAAGTGACTGAACTTCCAAGGGATCAGTAAGATAGAAGACATGGTCTCCATCCATCTACAATTGTAGAGTCACATTCACCTAGTGTTGTGTGTGTGTTTCCAACATTTAATTCAGAGGAAGCATTATTGACTCAGCATTATTGCCACAATAGTCAACTCAGTATTACCAAGTTACAGGATGGGGTGAACATCATGTACTAGCTAGAGCGCAAAACCTTCCTATTCTCCAAGATGAGTTCAAGTTACTAGCACCAGGGCTAGAGGCAGAGCACACATTGTTATTGCATTTCTAGGTTCGTGTGCTTGACCTTAGCGAATCTCCAAATTGTGCTTCTCAAAAGTAGCAGCCATATTGCATGGCTTAGGTGAGTAACGTAAATTATTTTTCTCTTTCCCAGTGATAATTTCCTTCAGAGAAGAGGTTTAGTCTATCGCAACTGAAGTAGGCTAAAACATGAACATACTTGGACATAAATTAGGTATTACTCTTTAGGGAAAGTTTCCACGTGTGATTCTCACGGTTTGGAATGACATTACAAGATGCCTAGGAGTAGGCTGTCTGGTCAGGAGCCCAAAATCCCCTGCACAGAACATACGTTTCTCCCCAGAGGACATGTGTGACCCATGAACAGGCATCCCAAGGAGCTAATACACAACTTTCCCCCTCCCTGACTACTGGCAGACACAAAGGGGAGCTCTGGCTTTGCTCCTAGCCTCCTTGCTGGCTGACCATGCAATAAAAATTTAATTAATTGATGTATTGTTTTTTTTCTCTGGTGTTGTGGTACTGGCTTCTGTGCATGCTGTGTAGTTATCTGTTGCTCAGTAACACTGATTAAAATGGTACTTTTACTGAAAATTTGGAAAATATTGATTGCCAGACCTGGGCATGAGATAAAAAAAAAAAAGTATGTCCTGCCAGGTGCCAGTGGCTTACACTTGTAACCATAGCTACTCAGGTGGCTGAGAACAGAGGATCATGGTTCAAAGTCAGCCCTGGCAGGAAGTCTGTACTACACTTCCCTCCAATTAATCACAAAAAAAAACCAGAAGTGGAGCTGTGGCTCAAGTGGTAGAGTACTAGCCTTGAACAAAAGAAGCTCAGGGGCAGCACCCAGACCCTGAGTTCAAGCCCCAGGAGTGGCAAAAAAAAAAAAGTCCTTAGCTGGTGTAGATCTCTCCTAACTGCAATCCTAGCTACTTGGGAGGCTGAGATCAGAAGGATTGTGATTTCAGGCCAGTCTAGGCATACACACAAGACCCTTTCTCAACCAGTAGCTGGATGCAGGGGTATACACCTGTTGTCCCAACCATGTGAGAGGCTGAGGTTGGGAGGACCATGGGGGCTAGGACAGCAGGGGAAGAAGTCTGAAAGACTCCATCTCAATGGAAAGAAGCTAGCCACGGAGGCATGCACCTGTCTCTCCGGCTAAAATTGAAAGCCTAAATAGGTGGTGGTCCATGGCCTAGAAACAAGCCTGGGTAAGAAGCGAGGCAGTATCTCCAAAATAACCAGCACAAAAGGGTTAGGGTCATGGCTTAAATGGTAGAGCACCTTCCTAACAAAGATGAGAACCTTAAAATTTAGTATCACAAAAAAAATGCTTCTGAAACACACACACACACACACACACACACACACAGACAAAGAAGATGGTATATGTATGTATATACACAATTCTATTCCTTGGCTTTCATACAGAACAATCTACCTTATCTCATTAATTAGTTGCTTAAATACTTTGCTCGTAAATAATAGTAAAATTATTTTCTCTTCTGTCATATAACCTATAGTAGTGTAGCTTGAAGTTTTTGATTGCTTACTGCTAGGTTTATCTGTCTTTCCTCTAAAGGTATAACTACATTCTTAAATATAATTAAGCAAGTTAGTGCTAAAGAATGGTGGAATTGGTAATAAAGTTATTCTAAAATAAGTCTAAAATTTGGATCTCTCAATAGTTAATTTCTGTTTCATTTCACACAAGTACTAGCAGAAAAATTCTTTTCCTCATTTGTTATCATTTCAAATGTATTGATAAGTAAGTCACATTTGTATCTCCCAACTATAAGCTAACAATGTGAGGTCTCTGTGCTATGTAATATGTATCACACATATCACCCTCAATGCTGTTACTGATGCTGGCATATGAGTTGATAGGTCATGTTAATTATGATATTTCTTCTATCTTGCAGTGAGTTATAAAACCACACATGGTTTTAACAAAGGCTGCTATTTTTCCTTTACACACAGTTCAAAAGCTAAAAATCAGCTATGAGAAACTCTAAAAATGAACTCAGCAGCAGCCACGTGACCAAAGATAGTATATAGAAAGTGAAACTTTTCCTAAGAGCAGATTTATACACATCTGTGTATGCTTATTTAAATTCGTGTGTGTGAGTCTGTACTGAGGCTTGAACTGAGGGCCTCACATTCAAGACTAATCTATGACCAGAACCACACCACTTCCTGGTAAATTGGATATCAAAGCCTCATAGACTTAACTGCTTGGGCTGGTTTTGAACTGGGGTCCTCAAATCTGGGCCTCTTGAAGTAGCTAGCATTATAGGTATGAGCCAACATTCCTAAATAGATGCATTTGGATCTATTTAGATTTTTAAATAGAATGGACATTCCTTTATCCTTGGTCTATGACCAACTGTAAACATAGTTTCATTCAACCTAGAATTCCTGATTCCTAATGTAATGCCTGCATCATTTATCTTTTCTCCATGGAATCTTTATAGAGACAGGTTAGGGTTCTACCAAGGCATTTCTAATGCAGTATTATGGTTTCGAAGGGCAAGGGACTTTTAAAGGTATCTATAATTCTCATCATTTTTCAGTCTCATGGTGAAGAACAGTTTCCACACAATGAGAATGTAACCTCAGGGACACCTGACATTTGTATTATGCCTGATGAGTGGGTAGTTCTTGACACAGTATCGCTTTACCTAGACAGGAATCCTCCCTAACTTCTTCAATTCAACATCTTCCTGTCAATTCTGCATCAGACCATATTTTGTATCTAAGGGAGAGAAAGCCTGGAGCAAAGACTTTCTTGTTTGTAACCAGCAGCGGCTGCCAAAAAATATCTCTATTGTGGCCACTTGTTGAAGTCATACATAAAAATATCAATCTGTCCAGTCTTTATTGAATAGCAGTCACCACACCAGCCTAAATCCATGCTGCTCACCTGACCCACGCACAGCTGTGTTGACACTGTGGCTGGAAATCTGATGACTTATTTTGTCTATAAGCATATGTTCACACGTGCATTTTTGTTATGAGATGCTAACACATAAACACACTTCATTTATTAAGCTTGGATAAGTGATATTTATGCTACATGTGGCTAAATCTGTCAGGAGTTTTGTTTTAAAGAGATGATCTTTAGGATGTATTAAAGAATTAACATTGAGATTATGATGATAAATGAGTAAACTGACAGCTTAGAGTGACATGAGTGACACCTAAGAATCTGGGTTCTATTGATCTTGTTTTGCTACAGTGAGAGAAATGACCAGGGCCATACACTAATATATAATTAGAATGCTTAATAGAAAAAAATACATTTCCTTTGCTTCATTTGAAATAACACGTACTCCACAGAATTCACATTACAGAGATGTTTGATCAAACCCTTTGATTCATGTTTTCTTCCCCATTTCTGGTTCCATATTAACAAAGGAACTAGCAACATTTCAAATGATGTAGTTGAAATTGTTGGCCCCTACCTGCTCCACCTCCTTGGAAGTAGGCTGCGTTGTTTCATTATGCTGTTCTTCCAGCATCTCCAAGTTTAACTCCTCGAAGAATTCATTCCTTTCATCTTCCAGCCAGCCTTCATCCAGCTGCGAAAGAATACATTAGTACTTTCTATTACGTTAGGAAGATCTCATGCTAAAACAGGGGAAACTTAAATGGTGACGCCTGACCAGTTCCTTTTATCATAATGATTATCTGCAGAATACCAGCCTCCTATAGATTACCTCTCAGAAGAAAAGGGGGTTACCAATAATACTTTTTTTAAAAAATGGATTCTTAGGCCTTTTATCCTTCTGATACAGAGCTACGTATTTTTGTCTTATAACCAAATAAATCTCCCAGAGAACAACGACTCTCTTTCAGAGCATATGAAAAGCAAAGACATAATCCTTAGCTGTGATCCTTACAACTGTTGCTCTGTGAAAAAGAACCCCGTGGCAGGGCTATGTCCCAAGGAGGTGATACACAGGGTGCTTCTCACCCTGAGCTGATGGAATCTCATCCTACTTTTTAAATTTTTAGGTAGGTGGCTCTCAAGGCAACAGAGTAGTTCCTTGCCACCAAAGAACACACAGATATTTTTGTCTGTTAAGAAGGAATAAAAATCTAAATCATTTGTGTGTATGTGTGTGTGTGTGTACCAGGGCTTGAATTCAAGACCTCGCTCTCACTTAGCTGTTTGGCTCAAGGCTGGTGTTCTACCACTTTAGCCACACCTTCACTTCCAGCTTTTTGTTTAACTGGAGATAAAAGTCTCATAGGCTATTTCTGTTTGAGATGGCTTTAAACCACTACCCTCAGATCTCAGCCTCCTGAGTAGCCAGGGTTACAGGTGTGAGGCACTAGTACCCAGCTAAAATTGTTCTTTGTCAATAGGAAGAAAAAAAATGAGGTCCGGTTTTTTAGGTTGCTGAAGATTGATCCCAGAGCTTCATTCCTATCACTGAACCACCACCACCAGGTCCATCATGTCTATTTTGGTTTGGTTATTAGGTCCAATTATAAGGAGAAAGGCCACAGACGCTGTGGCATTTGAAGGAGGGCATTGTGTGGGGCAGCTCATGGCAGCACTAGCCATGTAGGTGCTTGACACAAGTATTCTTGAGGGAATCTTACACAAATTGAACTGAACAAATCCCTTTGGCTTCTCCATACAAAGTGAAGTAAAAGCTGGTCATTACCTAGCTGATATGATTGCCAGTGACAGTCAGTAGAGATAATTTGCCTCAAAGTGGATTGTTGCAGTTGGATTACGTAAATTAGCTGACTGCGCTTATTAAATGAATTGGATTATTGTCAAAGCTCTGCTTTTCTGTGTTACAAAGGAGCAGTAGCTTTCTAGTGAGCAAAAATGGACAATAGTTTGAGGGGGTTTTTAACCAATAAATAATCAAATGTGTGTGTGTGTGTGTGTGTGCGCACGCACGCCTGTGTGTACACATGCATCAGTATACCCTTTAACTCTCATTTGCCTTTTTGTTCAAGGTTACATTCTTTTTTTTGCTTCGTTTTGTTTTTCAGGTAGTAGTTTTATTTTAGTTTATTATTTTGTACGTTTTTTATTGGACAAATACTGTTCAGAGGGGTTACAGTTACATGAGCAAGGTAATGAGTCCATTTCCTATCGAGCATTGTTACATTCTTGAAGTCCATTTTAGTGTCAGAAAGCCACTAATGCCAGACTCCAAACAGCAAGTACTTAATGCTAAGAATGTCTTTTGTCTAAACATAGCAATGATTATTTTTTTTTAATTTTTGTTGTTTATAATCATGTCAAACTAAATACTGATAGAGTGAATAATGTAACATTGTCTTGTAAGGTTTAAACGAAGGTTTGGGAAGATAAAGAGAAAAGAATAGAGAGTAATTATTCCTTGTAACTCTTTCTTACTGAGTTGCCCTGGGCAGTCAGTTCATGTCTGCATCGCTTCCTTCTAGGCTGGGGAACACAACATAGCAAGAGGCAAGTCTCCTTGCCCACCTGTTTTTTTCCTCTTCTCAACTAGGCTTACTCACTATAGTATGACTCTTGGAGACAAGCTGTCCCTTGCCAGAGCTGGGTTACAGGAACAAAGGACTGTCATAACACAGGGCATGCTGTCTGCACCAAAATGGAGCACATGAGATTGCGGGCGGGGGTGTGTGGGGGGGGGGCGGGGAGGCAGGGAGAAAAAAAATACACTGTCTTACAGAAAAAACATGGCTCCAAGTTCCTACCAGAGCCTCTCTGCCCCCAAGTCCTGAGGGGACTGGGACAGAAAAGCAATATCTTTAATGGTCTGAGGAAGAAAATAGGCAGGAAATGAAAGGAAGGTGACAGGGAAAGAAGGAAATGAGTTATTTAAAAATATTGCACAGATGTACAATATTGCCCCCAGCAACTCCATAGATCATTTCTAAGAATGAAAACACGCTAGAAAAACCACACATGCATGCGCGCGCACACACAACCTTCCACATTGGCCCTGAATAAAATAGTCTTACATAAAATGAAATGAGATAACACTGAATTTGATGGGAAGAGCTGGGTGATGTAGACACAAGGTTTCTTTTAGGATCTTTTTGTGTCTGTTTATAGCCTGTATTAAGATATGTTTTTAAAGTATAATATTAAGATGTAGTTCCTTGGTTGACTATTCTAAGATAATTTCAGGCCAGGAAAGCTGTTTTGAATCAAGGGGTGGATTCAGCTCTGATTTCTGAAGGCAGGATGGCAGCCTAGCATCAGGTGACTATCCCCTCTGGGAAAGAATTCTCATTTGAAAATTCACCCCAAAGTACTGACTATTTGGAGGGCAAAGTCCTGAAGTGCAAGCTAGATAATTCAAAGTGTCACTGGTTCTGACAAGTATATGTCTTCTACCAAACATTAACAGGGCCTAGTCTTGTGCCATTCGTTTCTGGATTTATTTTCATGGTATTTATGGCTACTCGGTGGTATCGTTTGAGGACATGCTTTAGTTCTGAATGACTTTCTTCTATAGCAGAGCAGTATTTCCTCTACCATAGATGTAGTTACTGAGCTCATTTTATTATGGATCTCACCACTATGTAGTTTTAGCCCTTTTCTTTTCCAAGAACTTAGAATCACAGACAGAACTGGTTAGCCATGTTTCTGGGTAGTTGGTATAATTGATAAGATATTTAAATAATCCACTCACACCTAGTCAAACCAGCCAGGCCATCCGGGTTTCTTTCCAAGCTTGTGAGATCTCAGGTGGGTAGCTGTACGCTGCTTCAGGCTATGGCAGACTTTATGAGAACCATTTAGAATGGTCAAAGGCATAAAGGAAATATATGCGGAAAGGGTGATCTTTTATAACCACTATATTCAAGTCAGGCCTCAGTATGACACTGAAATACACTTACTCAATGTAATTTATAGGTGGTATATAGTTACTGAGCCTGAAAAATATCCGATCAATAACTTAGGAGACAAATGGTGACATAACTAACTTCACTCAAAACTACTGACGGATGGATGGAAGGATGACAGAGTGATGTCCCTCCTCTATTGGGGGAAGGGATTTAAATAGGAAGTAAAAGAAATATCTCTAGTACTTTCCTTCCTCTCCTAGACTGTCCCGATGTCTTCCTCTGTAAATGGATTTTTAAAACATTCTGTTACATGCATCAAGTTTGGAGGCCAAATGTTTTTGTCACATAAAATTTTTAGCAAAAAAGAAAAAAACTATATAAATGGAACTCACCCTATGCTACATATTTTGTTTGATAAAAGTTAAGAAAGTAGTGAGATAGACTATTTTTTTCTCAGATTCATCTTAATACACCAATTTTTAGGTAGAATCCTCAAGGGAAGATGCACACAGAATTAAACTTCAAGTCACTGTTTTATGTGTTTAATTTTTTTTTTTTCTTGAAGAGGATGTTTATTTAGCTATCATTGTAAGGGATTCTGTCAGTCTTAAAATTTGTATGTCTGTGTGCCTGTACAAGGACTTGAACTCAGGGCCTTGAACTTTTGCTCAAGGCTAATATTCTACCACTCGAACCATATCTCCATTCCTGACTTTTTGGTGGGTGACTGGAAATTGAGTTTCTAATATATGTCTGCCTAGGTTGGCTGCAAATTGCACTCCTTAGATCTCAGCCTCCTGAGTAGCTGGTTTTCCAGGCATGAGCCACCAGCACCTGCTAGTCTTCTTTGTGTGTTTCCTTTTACAGATATCCATGGTGGTGATTTGAGTTTAGAATGGTGGAAAACGAACACAAACACATTCACAGCAGTTCAGTCTCAAGACGCCTGCTCTTTCCTGACCTGAATCTCTGGCCTGGCAACAAGTAGCACGATTCTCTTACAGTCCTCACTGGACAGCAGTGCCAAGGCTTCCTCTCGATTCTGGACATCTTCGCCATTTATCTAGAAAACAAACGAAACTGGCACATTAGTTTCCATTTCCACAATGCTGCACACACAATAAATGGCAAATATCAGCTCATTTATGGTAAATGTATGGACAACGCAGCTCACACAATGGGCTCATCTCCAGCCCCTCGTGTGGAAAGTGCCCTCACTCCATTACACGCTTACTGTAAGAGCCATATCGATCCCTGAAGGATGGCGGACATCAGAGGAAGCAGTTATGTTCATAAATGTCCAACCTGCGCCCTGGCAACATACATCTAGCAACACAATTAACCAGCCCCTGACAGGTGACGTTCATCTTTCTCCGCTCAGAGTAATGGAAGTGTCACTCTGAGATAATAGTGCCTGGAAAGCAGGACCAGCAATGCCACAACTGAAATCCGTCATCCCGCATGCTTGCTGCGAGCCAATTAAAGAGCTGCAGTATTATCTCTCACCAGGCAGTGCGCCCAGGCCACGAGGATTGCATTCTCATTTAATCATTTCCTATTGGTGTGTGGGTCTGCCTCAGTTGCCCAAGCATGGCTCTGAGGGTCTGTCTCTCAGGGCTCAGCTATCAAAGGGAAGAATAGCTAATCAGGATTACCCTCAAGGACACACCAGTTCCTTTCTAAAACCACAAAATGCATGCACATACTTTAAAATTACCTAAAAGCTATTTTCTTCCATTTTTTTGTTTTGTGTCTATAAAGGCAATTTTATTCTATTAACCCTTAGTAAACTTTCATTACACAGAAATGATTCTTGGAGTATTTGAATCTATATTTGTTTTGACTTTCCAAAATACTAAAACTAGAATTGTTTAAAGAATGTAGAGGTTCCATTTTAAAATAGAAAGGTTCAAGTGTATTTTTTCCTTTGGATCATATCTTAAAATTAATTTTATTGATTACTCAGGTCCATGATGATAATGAAGATTTTGATATCTAGTATGTCATCAAAATAGGTGGCAAAAAATTTAAGAGGGCAATCCTCCATAAAATTATTAATTCAAAAATACTTTTATCATGGGCTGGGGAAGGTGGCTCAGTGGTAGAGCGCTTGCCTTGCATGTTTGAGGCCCTGGGTTCGATTCCTCAGCACCACATAAGCAAAAAAGAAAAAAGCCGGAAGTGGCACTGTGGCTCAAGTGGTAGAGCACTAGCCTTGAGCTGAAGAGCTCAGGGACAGCGCCCAGGCCCAGAGTTCAGGCCCCACAACTGGACCCCCCCCAAAAAAATACTTTTATCAACAGCAACAAAAAACTATTAATTTCTTGGATATTGAACTGGATGAAAATGTGGCTTCACTAACCCTGTTTTCAATAATTTAATATCTTTCCCTGTGTAAAGATTTCTGTGTAAAAGCATGAAGGAAACCACTGTGCTTTTTCTCTCTGAGAGTCTGGGGGTACAGATGTAGTTACTGGAAAGTGAGCACAAGGTCTCAACCTCAGGCCACAAGGAAGAGTCCTTATTCCAGAGTCTATCATATGTAGTTAGGATCTGGTAACCAGGCCAGCAGACAATAATAGTGAAAAACAAATCACAGTAGGGTTTTCTTCTTAATAGCCACCTCACCCCCCCATCCCCCATTTCTCACTTGAATATGTATATAGATCTGAGGGTTTTGGTTCAAAATGATTGATTATGGAAGGTTCTTATCTCCTATTAACCAGCAAAAGGCTAGAAGTGGAACTGTGGCTCAAGTGTCAGAGCACCAGACTTTTAGCAAAAAAGCCAAGGGACCATCACAACTAGAAAAAAAACTGTAAAGAGAAATCTATTTATAATTTTCTGCTGAACCAATAGTATTTTCTCCTAGGGGAAATAGTCTAATAAGTAATTTGGTAAGGAGATAGAACTGGGATCTTAAATTCAGGGCTTCACCCTTGCTAGACAACTGAAAAAAAAAGGTTCATGAGAAAACAATGGGGAAATTTGTGAACATATTAGGGAATTGCAATTTGCATATAAGAAGAGTAAGAAATCCCAGGATTTCACCATAGAGATTATTTCTAGCCATTAATGTAAATTATCAGTAAACATATTTGGAGTTAAGGAAGCTTGGAGCCTTAAGGTTGGGGTTTCAAAATTATCTATCCATAAATTCCAGTTATCCAAGGTTGGACTGATCTGAAATAGAATCCTGAGAACTAGAAGTCAGATCTAGAAGTACAGGAATGTCCTTTATGTGAAAGAGCAGAAATAAGCATGAGTAAAAAGAACCACACACAAAGTCAAGGAACCACGGACTGCATGAGGCCCTGAGTTCAAGTCCCAGTATTGGTGCAGAAATGTGTGTACATACAGGTTTGTCATATAATAGTAGTTTCCAAGGTGGATATTATCTTTTGTTTTATGACTCTGGTACTTTAATAGCTTAGTAAAAAAAAAAAAAAGAAAGTGTCAATTTAGGCCTAATCTACCTTCTGTATTTGAGAAGAGAGAGAGAGAGAGGACAAACAAGAAGAATTGATAATGAGGAATAGAGGAATGGGCTTAATACATTATTAATGCTTAAATATACTAATTTTTAGGTTTCCTGTACTGTTCCAGAAGCAGATGGGCAACTGAAATTCTTTCATCCAACTATGTATGAAATTTCTTAGGATAACAGGCAAAAGAAGGGAGACTCATTTCAGAAATGCACATATATATTAATATGGATAGAAAGAATGATGAAGGGTAGAGATATGGGTATGAAAATAACAACAGAAATGAGGCAAAACAGGAAAGAAAGGGAAGAAGGTAGGCTATGGATCCGTGTATATGGAGGGCCCAGAAAGCAAAGAACTCATTAGAATATCACATTGATTGCATTCTGACAGTTTTGTATGGAAAGTAATCCTTAGGAACATGCTTGATTTTCTGGTCTACATGACTTAGGTTGCTCATAGGAAATGTTATATATTTACCCTCCTGAGGACAAAACGAGAATATGGAGTGCTCTCCTATAGAAACCTAGCTCAGAAGTGCATTTCTGAGCCCTGTAAGTTTGTGAGAGGAGTTACCAAGATCAATTCTTGGGAAGAAACTAGACACAAGTTCTTGATCAGGCTACAGCAGACGGAACCACCAAGCCTTTGCAGAGCAAACACACAAGCACTAGAAATGCTTTCATGAAGTTGGCTCATTATCTCCTCTCTCTCTCTCTCTCTCTCTCTCTGTGTGTGTGTGTGAGTGTGTGTGTGTGATCATCAAAAAAACTTATAGTGTTCTACAGGAAGAAAATTTTAGTTACACAATGAAGTCAGGACCATAAACAAACTGTACTGAGGTTAGATTAAATAGAACATTAAAATCAAACTTTCCCCAGGGAGATTCATTGAAATACAAGCCAGCCAGGAAACCTCATGGGTCAGAAGGAAATCTGCTTTCCCTGTTCTTGTCTCCCTGGGAAAGGTTCATTGAGGGGTATTCCATTATCCCCTCACCCCACACCTGGAGCTGATAGTTTGTGGGCATAATTTCACCATCACTCTTAAGATATTTTTGTCTCCAATGTGTAGAGACAGAATTGAATCCTAGATGTTTTAATGTGATGTATTTACTCATTAAGTGGGACATATTCATCACAGAATATATAATCAGACAGAAAACAGCATTTTATCAATCCTGCTGTTATCTTCACCAAAGCAACTCTATTAAGGAATATTTTACATTCCTGCAGATCCTTTCTTTGAATATTTACTTGCTTACAACATAGCCAAATATTCAGAAGTGTCAAAACATAAAATATGCACGTATGGAAATAGAGGCATTTTATTTCTATCCAACTATACCCACAGACCTAATAGAAGTAATTTTAGTAACTATTTGTTTATCCTGTGAGAGAGTGGTTAGCTGGAAAGTGACAGACCATGGTGGGAATTGGGGGAGAAGAGACAGCTGAGGACAGTAAGGATGCAGGAAGAAAAACCAATAGAGAGACTGGGTGCATCTGAAAATGGAGCCAAGAAGAATCCTTCCGTGCCTGAGCAGAAAAATCTTCCAGGGCTTTCAAGATGTCATTGTGCATTCTGCTCTCCAGCTGCATTGTATCAGGATTGCTGGGTATAACATGGCTCTGAGAATGGAATGGTTATATTATTTCCAATCTGTTTAGTTGGAGATGTTAGCAAAGCGACTGTACATTGAACTTGTTTTAATTAAAAATTCAATTATTTTGGATCTTTCATTGGATGGATGGTATATTAAAATGGTACCTTTTTGAGTGTGTGTGTGGATACGTGCAGGGCTTCATGCTCTAAGATTTTTCACTCAAGGCTGGCATTTTACCATTTGAGCCATAGCTCCACTTCTGGCTTTTTTGCTAGTTAATTGGAGATAAGAATCTCATGGACTTTCCTGGCTGGTTTTGAACTGCAAATGCCATTTTTTGAAGACGTGAAAATGAGGTTCAGCTGAAAGGAGGTTAAATGATTGCGTGGAAAGACAAGGCTTGAGCTGGAAGGTGAAGTCGAGTAATCTCCCTGCAGTCTATCTCAACCACTAATAAGTTAGCTAATAGTTTCTAGGAAATGGCACCAGCATTAGTTACACATGTTTCTGATAGTTTGTTTTGTCCACAACAATACTCCAAAGAAAAGATAATGAAAAAGAAACCTTGGGCACCTTGAACTAACCGCACCACCTACTTGCAAAATACGATCCCCTTCTTGGATTCGCCCATCTTTGGCAGCAATACTATTGGGATCTATCTGTAACAGAGGAGACATTCTTATTCAGTGGAGAATAGGCAATTTTCTCAAATACAGACACACACACACACACATATGCATGCACACACGCATATATAAGTTGTTTTATTCCAGTCCTGGGGCTTGGATTCAGAGCCTCAGTGTTATCTCTGAGTTTTGTGCTCAAGGCTAGCATTCTACCCCTTGAGCAACAGCTCCACTTTCAGCATTTAGGTGGTTAATTGGAGATAAGAGTCTCATGGATTTTCCTGCCTTGGCTGGCTTTGAACCATGATCCTCAGATCTCAGCCTCCTGAGTAGCTAGGATTATAGGCATGAGCCACTGCCATCGGATTAAAATATATTTTTCTTTTTTTAATAAGTTTTTTAACGTAAAAATACTGTACAGAGGGGTTACATGAGCAAGGTAATGAGTACATTTCCTATCGAACATTGTTGCCTCCTCCTTTGTTTTTCTCCTCCCATCCCTTCCTCCCACCTCCACAACTACACTAGAGCCCCCCCCCACACCTAAATTGTAAAGTTCATTTTTTTCAACATAGTGTCTTGTACATCTCATTGTTACAATGGGTCAACCTGTATCCTTATTTATTTAAATATTTTGTTTTTTCCATTCCCCTCCCCAAATTAGAGAAGTGTATATACAAGATGCAGGGCACCCACATCAAAAACAGTGAAAACAGGGGTTATACTATGGGGGAGGAACATACAAAGCAACAAAAAAAATCACATGGTACATTATAAATACATCAGAAACAAGAAAGATAAAACCACTTGTGTCCCTATCTTGGGGTTCATTTCACTTAACATCATCTTATCTGGTCATATGTACATACCTTTTGAACTTTTCTGCTTATCCCAGACATATACTAGCTATTGCAAATAAAGGAAACCATGGGACCTATGTTTCTTTGGGCCTGGCTTACTTCACTTATTATAATTTTTTCCAAGTCTTTCCATTTCCTAACAAATGGGGCAATGTCATTCTTTTTGATGGAGGTATAGAATTCATATATATATATATATATATATATATATATTACATTTTCTTAATCCATTCATCTACTGAGGGGCATCTGGGATGGTTCCATATTTTAGCTATGGTAAATAATGCTGCAATAAACATAGTTGTGCTGGTAGCTTTAGTATGGTCTTGTGATCATTTGGGTAAATGCCCAAAAGTGGAATTGCTGGGTCATAGGGGAGCTCTATATGGAGTCTTTTGAGGAACCTCCATACTGCTTTCCAAAGTGGTTGAACAAGTTTACACTCCCACCAACAATGCACTGTAGGGTTCCCTTTTGGCCATATCCCCTCCAGCATCTGTTGTTATTAGAGTTCTTGATTATAGCCATTCTAACTTGGGTGAAGTGGAATCTCAATGTTCTTTTGATTTGCATTTCTTTTATGGCTAGAGAGGTTGAGCATTTTCTTCATGTATCTATTGGCCATTCTTATTTCCTCTTCAGAGAAGTTTCTCTTTAAGTCTTTAGCCCACTTATTTATCGAGCAGTTGTTTCTTTGAGGATTTCTTGTTAGGGGATTTAATTTTTTGAGTTCCAAGTATATTTTAGATGGAGATCCTTGTCCATTGTATGGCTAGTAAAGATCTTCTCCCAATCCGTGGGCCTTCTATTGATCTTGCTAGTTATGTCCTTTGCCATGCAGAAGCTCTGCAATTTCATGCAATCCCATTTGTCCAACTTTTCTTTGATTTGTTGTGTTTTAAAATATATATTTAAAATCATGGTCCAAAAGATTTTCTATGGATTTACAACAGTATGTATCAAGTTTTTCTCTGTCAAAAATAATTCATTCTGAAAATATTAACCCCCAAAAAAGTGAACTAGTGTAGAACTTAAAGACCATTGTTTACCCTTTCTCCTTTCTATTCTTCTTTCTTTCTCCTCATATTTATAACTCAATAACAATTATTATGCATGGACTTCTTCACCTGATAATGAATGAAATTAATACCAGGTTTTCTGAACTTAGGAAATCTGCTTTCTACTAAGGCGATTCTTTAAAAATCTTTTTCCAGTTGTCCCAGAATACCATACTGACATTGAAGTTCCATATTTATTAAAGGGACTTTTATCTTTGAGAATATTAATTTATAATGAGGTTTACAATCTGTATTGCTCAAGAAGTGGAAATAAAACCTTATCTGTTTACATTTATTCAGTACCATTTTACATATAGGGAAAATTATACTAATGATGAATTATGTTAGAATAAGTATCTATTTCAAGTTCTTTTAAAAGAGCTTTATCACTATTTTAATGGGTCAAACTTGAGTGATGGCTTTCTGTTCACTAGGGGTAATTCCATTAGGTTTCATGGGATGGCTTCAGATTTTTGTCCAAGCAAAGCATTTCAATGCAGATGTTAGATATTATTTTCTTACTAGTGGAACCATCTATAATAACTAGGGTTTAAATGGTGAATCAGCATGCTGTACACTATAATTCATTGCATGTAGTAGGAATAAGGATAATATTCCAGGTATGTGTGCTTCGTTTCTGTGACTTATCATCTCTGAAAAAAAATTCAAATCTATATGTCCCAATGGTAATTAGAGACTTACCAGAAAACACTGAGGGATGAATATTCAGTTGTATCTCACTCAAAAGTCATTTACAACCCAAACTTTGTAGTCAGAACAGTAATCAAATGAAACTTCTACCTTTTTTTTTCTTTTTCTTTCATTTTCTTTTTTTTTTGTCGGTCGTGGGGCTTGAACTCCGGGCCTGGGCGCTGTCCCTCAGCTCTTCAGCTAAAGGCGAGCGCTCTACCACTTGAGCTACAGCGCCACTTCCGGTTTTTTTTCTGGTGGTTTATTGGAGATAGGAGTCTCACGGTCTCTCCTGCCCGGGCTGGCTTTGAACCTCGATCCTCAGATCTCAGCCTCCTGAGTAGCTAGGATTACAGGCGTGAGCCACCCCGGCAAACTTCTACCTTTTTACTTCTGTGCATATGACAAAAATTCTTCATTAGGTTTTAAAAAAATTACTTCCTCAATCAGAGGAATTACCAAATAATCTGCAGTTTATCCTAGGAGCTAATATTTAATTATGATAAAGACTAGTAACACTTTCTAAATGCATTAATTACATGATATCTCCCATTTTCTAAACAGTTCTATTAAAACAGGAAGACATAGCGAAGCATGGGAGCTCACATTTGGAATCCCAGAACTAAGAAGACAGGAGGATTGATTCCAAGTTCACGGCTAGTGTGGGCTACCTAGCAGGGCCTTGTCTTCAAACACCAAAACCCAAATCAAATAAACAGCAGTCAACAAAAATATAAACAAGAAACAGTGTTACAGTAAGTTTCTTGTTGAGAGATCCTTTATGTTAGGTAATGCTTTTAACATCATGGTCATGAAAAGATGGACAAAATAGATACCAATTGCTTTTCCATGCTATTCTGACTCTTGTATTCATGTTTGCAGGAGTTAGGCTATATGTGTGTGTACCTAGGTAAGTAAACAAGTAAATTTTTTTGTGAAACCGTACTTGTCTAAATTTTTTCTTAGGTGATTAAAAACAACTCCCCTGGTGACATATGTTGCTCAACAGTCTCTCAATGCTATGAATACAGCTGGACACAGTTGCTTGTACCTGTAATCCTAGCTACTCAGGAGACTGAGATCTGACAATCATGGTTCAAAGCCAGCCTGACAGAAAAGTCCCTGATACTCCTTTTTTCTGCTTAACAAGCCAGAAGTGGAAGTATGACTGAACTGATAGAGTACCAGCCTTGAATGAACGTACGTATTAAGGGACCTGTGTTCAAGCCCCAATACAGGCACGGAAACAAAGCAAACAATACTAAAACAGTGACTTATATTTGTCTTGTCATTTCTTGAAAGTGACTGGCCTACTGATATGTATACTATTGGGGTATTTACCAGAGTAAGAGATGTGATTGCCATTACTCTTAGCTTGAAATAATAGCTACGGTAGCTTAGGTCAACAATATTGCCAGGGATATTTATTGTTCACCTAAGATGCAGTAGAATGAAAGGACAGATGTTTGCAGCTCAAAAACCTTGTTTGCCTCCCTTCATTCTTATGGAAATACATTTAAATATAGACAAGGTCACCACTTTTTATTTTCTTGCTAAGCTTCTGTAGTGAAGGATTCCATATTGAATAGTGATTCCATTACTTGGGCAGCATAATTTGCTTTCCTAATCACAAGTGGCAGAAATGGGAACATGGCCAATTCCTTATGTTAAAGATGAGGAAGGAAGGATTTTTCTCACTGTGAGTGGCTTCCCCTCATCGCTGCTTTACAGCATTTCTTACCTCACTGACATAAATGCCTGTGTCTTCTTCATCATCTGTCCGGTAACAGACTGTCAGGCCCAGCTTCTCTTGACTGCTAACACGACACAGCTCGACCTCCTGAGAACCACACACATAACATTTATCTCAGAAAGCCCTCGGCATAGTAGGGGGAAAAATGGATAATTCCAGGATAAACTTTCAGTTACTTGGGAAGTTTTAATAATTACCACACAACATCTGAAATTAACTTTTATGGCCAAAGATCACTAAAATTTATCGTCAATGTACATTTCTCTCTAGTCACACAAATGTCTTAAACTTTCACTATTTTTATTATAAACTGGAAGAATGCAATAATACCTAAAATTATGTAGAAATCATTGAGAATCTCTGAGAATATGAAAGTATCTTGCAAAACCTTCATAAAAATATTCAGTCCCTTTGTTGTCTTTGTATTATACTAAAATGAAAGAAGTTAGAATTTTAAAAAAGACTTTCTTCTTTTGAGTTTGCAAGATGAAAATCAGCAAGAGTTTTGTGGGGGTTGGGTCAAGATTGTCAACATATTATTTTCTGGAAATGCTCACCTTTGGAAAGAAATGGGCTCATCCAGGCTGAAGGACAGGCGTCCACAGCTACGTGGAACAGAACTAGTGGTGCCAGACACAGCCATTAAAGGAGAAGAAAGTGCATTTTCTGCAACACATTGCTCAGGGGCTTGAAATGCCAGACCTTAGGCAACATGTACTAGGTCCTGACTTAGAGTCAGTACGATGACATTCATTTCAGCGCATTCCACTTTTACATACCGGAAACAGATAGTACCACTTTTAGAAGCAGGTGACCTCAGGATAAGTTCCGTCATTCCAAGTACGACAACACAGACTGACACTCTAATCACAGAGCGCTTGCTCCCTGTTGCATAGCTTTAGTAAATAAGGAGATGCAGAAGAACAAGGCATCTTTACACTAGGAGTGAAGTCTGGTGCTAGGAAGGCTGGTAGATTTTACTTCAAAATCTTCCTCAGTGTCAACACAACTTTTCATAAAGGAGCAATTAAGCAGCCTTGTCTCTTTGGTTGAAACTAGGTGTGTGTGCCCAGGTGCATCAAGAAGACTAAATATGCTATGATCTAAATGATCATCACAAGTGACATGTTTAAATCCCAATCTCTAGCATTACCATTGTATAAGGAGTAGAGTCTCTGGGGGGATAATTAGGTCCTAAGATTTGAGTCCCTGAATGAAATCATTGCCCTCAACAAAGGCCATCTTGTCCCTAATTCATGTGAGGACACACAGAATAGGCAGCCTCTAGGAGGAAGTGGGCTTCAGCAGACACTAGGCTTGATCCTGGGCTCTGCAGCCTCCAGTACTGGGAGAAATGTTCCATCATAGCATTTTATTATAGCATCAAGAATGTGCTGAGACAAAGTACCCATTAATTGTCCAGAATCTGAAATAGTTACCAGTACTAAATAAAGAAAAATTCAACTAGAAGGGATGGGAGGGGGCATTGGAAAAGACAGAAGGATAGAAGGGGTGACACCGATCAAGACATAGTGTACTTATAACTCTTTTGTACAACTACTTAATAAAAATATTTTAGAAAATGTATTGAACTCAGACTTGTTGAACTGAAATGCTTTGGTACAGCTGCTTAAAATAATAAGTGAAATTTTTTTGTCAGCTGGCTTGAACTCTGGGCCTGGGCACTGTCCCTGAGCTCTTCAGCTCAAGGTGGGCGCTCTACCACTTGAGCCACAGTGCCACTTCTGGTTTTCTGGTGTTTAATTGGAGATAAGAGTCTCACAGACTTTCCTGCCCGGGCTGGCTTTGAACCACGATCCTCTGAACTCAGCCTCCTGAGTAGCTAGGATTATAAGTATGAGCCACTGGCACCCAGTTGGATTTAAAAAATTTTTAAAAATACTTTTAACTTCAAACAAGATCTTTTCCAGAATACTCCAATAACTTTGAAAAAACACCACTCCTTTGTATTTTAGTGAAATTGCTGTCACTGGCTAATAACCATTTGTTTTAATGCTAAGCTATAAACTATGGGGTAAATCCTAGAGAGTATTTGCCATCATAACTCCAATCGTTTCATAGCTAACAGCAAATTCAACTAAATTAAGTTCCCTATACTGACACAGATGGTACAAGTGAGATACAAATTAGTGGAAAATTTTCTGCCTGATGGTGAAGATACTCTAAATTATAATGAAATAGTCCAAAAAAGAAATGATGCATGGTAAACAGTAATAGAAGAGGATGAAGAATCCTTTCAACTAGATGAAGACTAGCAAATGGTGATATGACACCAGCAACAAAAATACACACACCAAACAGGAATCTTCTAAAAATTAGCAACAGTTAATGCCCTCTGCACATAAAGAGCACTTGCCTAAATCTATGTGTTTTTGGGAAAAGGGGGAAGAGGAAAGGGGGGGTGAGTAGATGCACAGAGAGAGGAAGGGAGGGTGAATAGAGTCATAATACTCGGTGCACAGGTATGAAAATGGAGCCAGGTAACTCAAGGGGAGGGGTGGGGCTGGAAGAGATGGGGCACTATACTCATAAATTGACATGTTGAGTTGAAACCTCTGCAAAACTGTTTGAAGATAAAAAATGCTTATAAAAATTTTGTAAGGAAGGACTTACAGGAGCAGAAGGGCTTCACTGCAGCCAAAAAAGTATATCGTTACAACAGGAGTCTCTAATGTCTAAGAGACATAAAAGGAAATGTAAGCCTTCCATAAAGAACGCTTGACATGAGGGCCTTTAAATCAAGGCAAATGAGCAGCTGTAGTTAAACCTGAAATCCATTCATGTTCAATGTCTTGCCAACTTATGGAAGAAACAAACTATCAGTACTTCCAGAACACATTTGCAGAGAAAACACTTTTTGGAAGTGTTTTCTCAGTGACTTTGGTGTCTTTTTAGAAGATGCAAATGAAAGAAATGAAATGTATCTATTGAAATGAAAAGGGAGGAACCTATTCATAAGACTTCACTACCAAAAATCGAAGCTTTGATGCAAGATTCACAGAAAAGATGACCATCTGGAGGCCAAAATAACTTTTCAACCTTGCCCAGGCCGGCCTGACCAAGTAGTCTTCCTGCCTCAGTTTCTCGAAAGCCTAGCTTCCACGTCTGCATCACTAAACTCAGTTAGACTTGCTTTTTTTGAGTCACATGACATGGTCATGTGTCATCTGTGTCACAGGTGTTTATGGCCTGCCTTTGCAGGTAAGTGCTAGTTAATGAGGGCATCAAGATAATTGCTAAATCTATCTTGAAAACGTCTTCATTAAAAATCACTTTAAGAAGAGAATGATGAAAGGTATGACATTAAGATGCATTGTACTCATGAACAGACATGTTGAACTGAAACCCCTTTGTGCAAGCAAATAAATACATAAGTAAACACTTCAACAACTAAGACCCAGCGCAGCCCAGTTCACACTAGTAAAGGCAGAAAACACAAAGCCTTCAAAGGACTGAATTTATAGTGGTAAGATTTCAGACTGAGAGAGCCCCATGAGATCATTTGGATCCCACAAACCACTAAATGAGTCCCAAGTGCATTTCTTTAAGAATGTCTTCCATTTTCCTTATTTCCTATTGGTACATTGAAACATTACAGTCCAGAAAGTTCCTTTCATTCCTTGATAGCTTATGAGCCATAAAGGTGGCTTGTCAGTCTCTGGTGATGTGAAAGGAATCCTCCCACATAGAGTTAATTAAGTATTCCCTCCACAACATGTACGTCCCCACCCCGACTCCTGAAGAAGCTACCTCCTGGTAATATAGAATGTTTTCCCTAACAACTTCTGTACCTTTTTTTCCTGCCACTAGGAAGCTGTTTGATGAACAACATTAAAGTGAAATGCTATCTCTGTGCATTTTCTCCATGGAGACGATTCATGGGCTGAGATGAATCAAAGCTGAGCTTCAGTGGACAGCAGCGTTAACCACCCATAAGTCACGTGTGAGTGGTTGGAAGTATTTCACACACAGGACGAGACAGCATTCATTTTGACTGAAATGTGCTTTGAGAGGCTGGGCTCCAGGGAAAACATGCAAAGTCTACTTAAATACAATTGAAAAGTGGTGTCGAATCCTGTGAGAAATTGCATTGAGGATAGGGTAGAAGATTGAAGTTGGGGGGGGGTTGAGCTTATGTGTGCCGGGGGTGGGTCTTGAACTCTTGACATCATACTCTCCTATAGCTTTTCCACTCAAGATTAGTGCTCTACCGCTTGAGGCACAGCTCCAATTCCAGCCTTTTTATTTTCTGGTTAATTGGAATCTCTTGGATGTGTCTGCCCCATCTAACTTTGAACCTTGATCTTCAGTTCTCTGCCTCCTAAGTTGCTAGAATTAGAGGTGTGAGCCGCTGGTGCCTGCCTAAGAAAGGGATTTTTCATACTGAGATACCATCTCACCCCAGATAGAATGGTTGTGATTGAAAAGACAAACTTCAGATGAGGATGGACAAAGAAGAACTCTGAAATATCACAGATCTGTACACATATAATGGAAATTGGTATTGTGGTTTCTCAAAACTGTCAATGTGATCCAGCAATCTCACTACTGGGTGTATATGGAAAGTCAAGGAATTCAGTAGGTCACAGAGACATCTGTACCCATATATTGACTGCAGCACTACCCACAATAGGCTAGATATGGAATCATCTTGACTTCCCACTGATGAGGGACAGGACAAAGCAAATGTAGTTAATGTATACATGATGAAATATTACTTAGCCATAAAAAAGAAGTTCATTCATCTGCAGCAATATAGACAAAACTGAAGACCATTATGTTAAATAAGCCAGGCACAGGGCAACAGGTAATAACTGTTTTCATTCATACGTGAAAGCTGAAACCCTGACCCCACAGAAGTAGAGAAGAGATTTATTGGTTATCAGTACCTGGGAATGCTTGGAGAAATGGTAGGAAGGAGAAAGGGTGGTTTGCAGATACCAGAGTGTATAGCTTCGAATGTTCTATAGCACAGTACAGTAACTATGGTTGACAAAAATTCTCTACTTCAAAATAAACAGGATTCTGAATGTCCCCAAGATAAATAATAAATGTCGATAATGGAA